TCATAAAGTCCCGATCAATAACCTCAAAATATTGATGTTGACAAAAAATATTGAAGTTGACTGTATGTTTGACCATAGTTGACTTTTTACCCAATACAGTTGATTTTCAGTCATCTGAGCAATTGATTGGGCAAATTTGTGATGCAAGGCTTGAAACTTGACATGAGCATTTTTGAGGACCTATGATGAACCATGGAAGTCATTTTAGGCATTATAAGTCCAATTTCCCTTGATAAAATCAAAACCCTAGTTATAGGTCAATGCTTAGCAGGTGAGTTTGTCTGATCAACTCTTGAGAATCCTTGAGTATTTAAGAATCTTAGAAGAATGTCTTGAAGAAAATGGGAGGGAAAATTTTGGGGTACAACAGGTAGGTTTGCAAGCCATCGTGTTTTGTTGTTTACATTCTTGTTCTTACCTTTGTATATACCCTTAGGTTCACTTATAACCAAGGTAGACATTAGGTTTGTAAACCATGCATGCTAATATTAGGTAAAATTCCCTTTATCATAACTTTAGGACCGCCATTGTATGCTAACATTAGAAATAAAATTCCCCACAGATTTTTCATTCTCCTTTTGCATCCATTAAGACTAAAACTTTTTCTTAATCAAATGTGGAAAACATCTAACTTTACTCAGATCCTTTCTCAAGGTAAAAAATACTAACCAATTCAAACCTTTTTGCCTTCGGGCCGCCTTCAGACTTTTCCTTTTGAAAACCTTTCCAGGTAAGAACATGTTAGTTCCTTTATATTATTGATGTGTGAGTCTCCAAAGGTCGAGCTGGAGTAGAATGCGAAACTTAACATTGTTCAATTAAAAAACACAAAATAAACAGAAACTATTGAGCCAAACTACGATGCTCTGATTCCTTAAAGGGATACATAGGCATTAGGTTGCAGAGCCTAAGCTAGCAGAACTATTTAAAAAATTTGTTTTCCCTGTATAATTTCCTCATGCATTTCCCTTAGCTTATAAGCTTTAGTATAGTTTAAACACATCCTTTGATTAGAACAACAAGAGTGGATCTCGTGGAGTACCATAGACGTGAGTGGTGCTAATACCTTCTCCTTGCATAATCGACTCCCATACCTATTTGTTTGTCGCGGGACTTTGTTCTCGCTTACTTCAGGTTTACTCGATGTCTCTCTTTAACATTCAATGGCGACTTCATTAATTTCCTTAGTTGCCTCATGTGCAATTAAGGCAAAAAAGATTGAACACCATATAATGCATGAACCCATGACTCAAATGATTCTTGACGTTCTTTGCAAGCCTGGGATATAATGGGTAATTTAAAGTAACCTTATGTTGCAGTTAAAAACCGCTGAATTCTGCCAATTCCTAGAGCTTAGGCCTCTGTTGAATGGTGAACCTATAGATATATGATCTTTAATTGCTCATAATATTAAATATATGACTGACGTTGCCCAAAAAGCTTGTGAGCATTTTTGTATTATAGCTAATTATGCAGGGTAGTTGAAGTTCCCACTCATTTAGATAATGTGATGATTATTCCTAAAGCACCCATCAACGCTTCAGTAATATGAATAATCCAATGAAATATGCAAATGGGAGCTCAACTAGAACAAGATAACAATCAAGCAGGAAACAACAGAGAATTCTACCAGCAAGACATTCAAAATTAAGAGGCACCAATGTAAAACAATCAGCAAAATTATAAATTTCAAAGAAGAATGGAAGCGCTTGCCTAGGAATCACAAGATGGGAAACATAACTTTCACCTACTCTATACGCTGAGCCCCCACACTTTGATTCAATATTTATAGATTTCTACAATCAATAGCAGGATCACATGCCTACAAGGAATTTTAGAGTTTGTTTTGCAACCGCCAAAGATATGGAGAATTACTTTTGAGCTCAAGACATAGAACAAGAAAGAAGACAAGAGCATATGAGAGAAGAATAGGCAAGGAAAAATGTCGACTTTGTCAACACAATGAACATTATGCAAGACTTTTTTCGTTGATAATTCGAGATGAAAAAGAATATGTAGTATTTTTAAATTTTAGAAAATTTAATTATTTTCTAGGAGTTTAGTGAAGAGTAATATCTACTTATAAGTACTCTTCCCCATTCTATCTTCCAATATTTTCTTGAAACTAATAAACAAGTCTGCTTCTGTTATTTCTTTCAGATTTACAAATAATTGCAACTGTAGGATTAAACAGAAAAACCAAAGACACCTTCCGATAAAACTTGATCCTCAAAAAATCAATTTACGAATTTAAAGCGAAAGATAAAGATGAAATTGACAGTCTTGTACTCAATCTCCAGATACCTCAGCTAGTAAGATTTGAGCCAAATATTTCCATTTTTTACAATTTCTTTCTTTGAGTGTATCCATGCTTTACTATTTTATCAGGTTTGAACTATTTCTTATTAAATTGTCTAGTATGATTTACACACACCGAGGCAATTTGTTGTTTTAAATTATGAGCCTTTTAAGCCAACCTGTCTTATTATGGATATCCTTTTCTAACCACTTTGATCTTAGCCTTTTGTTTCGGTGACATAACCATATATGTTAGCCAATTGACTTGAAGATTAAATCTTTACACCCTCTCTTTGGAGTTAGGTGGAATTTTTAAGTTTTCCTGTCATATGCAAAAGAACAAGTTTGAGGTTGCTCTTGGAAGTGAGCTTAGTTTAAGTTTGGGGTTGGGGGTACTAGATATGTTGGTCAAAAATTTAAAAAGTTTGAGAAAAAAAATCAAGAAATCAAAGCAACTTCTTCAAAAAAAAAAAGAAGAGAAAAATGCAAAAGTCATAACAAAGACCACTAAAAGCAAGAATCTCTTATACCGATAATAAGGAAAATAGTTGGTATGATAACAAAAGAAGAACTAGAAACCTAACTCCAAAAGTTTAAACCTACTTTTCCAAAAATATACTACCCGAACCTAGGCCATGTTACATCTGAAAAATCCCTCAAGTGTGTGTGTTTTGACCACTTTGATGAATTGTGTTAGAACATGATCAAACTCAGTATAAGCGGTTTTGCATGTTGATAGAGATTACCTTGTCAATTGAGTGAATTATAGTGAGATGAGAGACATGTTGAGTATTCGATAAGGTTGATGAAGTTTTCTATATTTTCCAGATTGTAGTTAGAAGCTAGAATGGTGATTAGTAAAACAAATAATATATGGCGATGTTCAATTGTTATTACCGTAGTTTGTGTTTCTGTTTAGAATTTTCAGTTGCATGCAAGTTACTTGAGGACAAGCAACATATTAAGTTTGGGGTTGTGATACCACCCTGTCATTGCATGTATTCTAATGAAGAAGCAGAGAGAAACAAGTCGAAGATGACCAAATTTAAAGAATAATGGACAAAGAATTATGCAAAAATGACCAAGTATGAAGAAATAGGGACTTGGGACCTATTAAAGTTTTATCGCACGCAATGTAGCTTATGACACGCACAATGAGACTTTTTTGGGTAATTTCTGATGCAATCTGACAGTTTGTTGAAGGCTTTAAAAGGGGGATTTTTGGCACTTTTTAAGGGTTATGCAATTTTACACTGCAAGTGACGATTTACAACACTAGAAGTACGAATTAGAGCGCATTTGAAGCCATTGGAGGCCAACTCTTCAAGGGTTATCTTATGCAAACTCTTTCTTATTAATTGGTATTATAATTTATTCATTATGAGTAGCTAAGTCTCTTTAGGTTAGGTTTTATATGATAAAACTATTTTAATACTGTTGGGACATACATTTGATTTGTTATTGCATGAATAATTTGAGTTATAATTCTATTCAATTGCTTATTGTTCACAATATTTTTTATGTGAGACACTCTTTTAATATGAATTTAGGCACATAGGGAATACTGATTAGTCTATGTGTTGGATCTAAAGCAATTGTTATACTTATGTCGGTTGAATAAGGATATGAGACCTCGAGTATTGTCTTATGAATTAACGTTCTATTGCATCACCTAATCTCACTTACGCCGGTTGACTAGGCATAAAAGACTTCTAGTAGAGATTAACGAACTATACACTAAGGGATTAGGTATAGTTGATTTGTTAATTCACCGTGAAATTATAACAACGATATCATTCATGTAATACATCGAATATCAACATGAGAGAAATAGGAGATTCAATATAAAACCCGTCTGCTTCCGTATTATTGACATAACAAAATATTATCTTTTCACGATTAAAACTTAAAAACTCCCCATTAGTTACTTTCTTAACATTGCACAACATTGTCTGATTGAATAACAGTCCTTGTGGATACAATATCTTTTTATTACTTCGACATTATCGATACACTTACCGATAAGTCATCAAAGATAATGATAGAATGAGGAAGAAAAAGATTATTTTAAAATATAACTTTCTTTTGGATTTGGTCATTCCTTTTAAAATCATCAAACTATAGAATCCATATCACCACATGATGCATGAATTGTAACTTTAAAAAAATAAAATTATATCAGCAACATTGCCTTTTTTTTTATAACGGAGGATTGATGTCATAGACTAAAATCAAATAAATTTCAATATTTAAAGATTTTTCACAACAAAAAAAATATATGAACAAAAAACAAAAACATGTGAACTTACACGTACGATTGACTATTTAAACCTAGATTTAACAAATCAATAAAGTAACATAGCTAATTATTTCTCTATTATAAAATTTAAAAAAAATAAGATATGCACTAATATTGTTAATTAATTTTACATTATCAAACAATTATAATGATGTATTCCACTAAATCAAACTTTAAATTTTAAATTAATGATATGACATTCAGATTAATGTATTTCTATTAATTTCTATTCCATTTTCTATCAATAAAATTAAGAATATTAAGAAAAAACTATTTTCTCCCATGTTTTTCATAAGTTAATAAAAATTAATGTATTTAGATTAGATTCATTCATCAATTGTTCATGTACACATCAGAAGATGTGATGGTTCATTATAAATAAGATAGACCCTTCCACACCCAAATGGCTACCATAGCAACTTCCATTGTCGTTTCATTCACAAAACCATCTTCTTCTTCTCTGTTTCTCACAAAATTCACTTCCCGCATTCACTCTGTTTCATTTCCCAAGCGTTATCATTCAACGACGAAGCTCATGTCGCACACTCTCGCACGTGCCGCCAACCTTGGCCTCACAAACCCCACCAACATCGAAACCCCGAAGGTCAATTTTCCACACCATCGTTACCCGTTACATTATAAGTTAATCCGTTGATTTTCTCGCTATTGGGTGTTCATTTTATGTTTAAAGTTTTGATTTTTCTGTGAGTATGTGTTTTATTTGTATGATACTGAGAATGCCTTTTTTGTGTTTGTGAAAATTCCTGAATGAAGATCTCTTTTTCTGCCACGGATATTGATGTGACGGAATGGAAAGGAGATATACTGGCTGTTGGTGTTACGGAGAAAGACCTAACAAGAGACTCAAAATCAAAATTTGAGAATCTGATCTTGAGCAATATTGACTCTAAGTTGGATGGTCTGTTAGCTGAGGCCTCTTCTGAAGAGGATTTCTCTGGTAAAGTTGGTCAATCGACTGTTCTTAGAATTAAAGGACTTAGATCAAAGAGGGTTGGTTTGATTGGTCTTGGACAGTCACCTTTCACTACTGCACTGTTCAAGGGTTTCGGTGAGGCTGTTGTCGCGGCTGCTAAGTCTGCTCAGGCTAGCAGTGTTGCCATTGTTCTTGCCTCTTCTGAAGGACTTTCTTCTCAATCGAAGCTTAGTACTGCCTTTGCAATTGCATCTGGTAATGATTTTATGATTTATGACTGTTTAGTGTGTGTGTGTTTGTGAATGTTGGCTTGTGATATTTATAGTTACATTGCTTGAATTGTGCTAGGAGCTGTATTGGGATTATTTGAAGATCATAGGTACAGGTCAGAATCAAAGAAATCAGCACTTACATCCATTGAAATTATTGGTCTTGGAACTGGATCTGAATTGGAGAAAAAATTCAAGTATGCTGACTATGTTTCTTCTGGAATAATATTTGGAAGGGAGCTTGTAAATTCTCCTGCTAATGTTCTTACTCCAGGTTCATATGCCACTTAAAATTCTATTTTACATGTATAAATATATGTATTTGTTTATGCACTTCTCTAAAACTTGATCTGTACTTGATGATGTTTTTTTTTTCTCCAGCGGTGTTGGCAGAAGAAGCATCTAAGGTTGTGTCCTCCTACAGTGACGTTTTCACTGCTAAAATATTGGATGCTGAACAATGTAAGAAGTTAAAAATGGGGTCCTATCTGGGTGTTGCGGCAGCCTCGGCAAATCCTCCTCATTTTATCCATCTTTGTTACAAACCTCCAAGTGGTCCTGTTAATGTCAAGCTGGCTTTGGTCGGAAAAGGTTTGACTTTTGACAGGTAATTCGCTAAACCATGTCTTTTTCTCTTTTCATTCACTTTTATTGTTTGATAACAACTTACAGTTTTTTTTTCTTTCTCTTAACTGTTTTTTTTTAAATGTTATTTGCTTGTTATTAGTGGGGGCTACAACATCAAGACCGGACCTGGCTGTTCAATTGAACTCATGAAATTTGATATGGGTGGTTCAGCTGCAGTTTTTGGCGCAGCAAAAGCACTTGGTCAAATCAAACCGCTTGGAGTGGAGGTTAGTCACTGAAGTCCCTGGTCACGACTTCTCTCTTTTTCTATAATATCCCTGGTCCTTTGATTTTTTCAATTTTATGTCAAGACTTTGGTTAGTTCTTATTAGGTGATGTAGAATGGGATATCCTGAATCTTGGGTTTGCATAGATAAAACTGAGTGAGACTTCCTATCTCATTTGATCTTTTTTCTTAATAGAGCAATTGAGCATGAAGTTTCATTTTACTTTTCTGGTGGCTACTATCTTTTGAAATGATTTGTTAGAAATACATAGTGGATATATTGCGTTTTGTTCTGTGGTGTAATATAAGTCTTGCATGTGCAGGTTCATTTTATAGTTGCAGCTTGTGAGAACATGATCAGTGGAACAGGTATGAGGCCCGGCGACATTCTCACGGCTTCAAATGGAAAGACTATTGAGGTGAGGGTTTACTAGGTATTTGTGTTTTAATTGTACAATAAGCTTAGCTTGTACTAGTATGTGGTATTGAACTATTTATGCATAGTATTTGATGGGTTTTTGTTTCAACCATTACATTGCAATCTTTCCAACTCGTTAAATATGTATATTGGATAGAAACATAGTCTTTGATAGAACATTATGGCATAATTTGATCCATGTAGTCGACCCCATTTAGTGGGATAAAGCTTGGTTGTTCAGTTGTTGTTGTATTGTAAGGTCCAATGGACTTGTCATTACTGCTTCTTCTTCGAATATTTTATTTAAACAGTTGAATGCCAATGAAATGCATCAGTTGTTTCCAGTTGAAGAAAGTTTCTCTATAGTCATTTATGATGTTTTGGGATGTATAACTCGTGATTATCATTTTAAGTGTATCAGTACTGAAATTACAAATCTGTCGTAGTTATACCCGGTACTTATAATTATATGCATACAAATACATTGCAATTGAAGATTATTGAAGTTTCGACTTCTGTGAACTATCAACAATGTAATAGAACCTGTGTCGTATTTGACCTTGATTTTGTTAAGCATTAACATTTTATATAATTTACTAGGAATTTTACATTGGTTGAATTTTGTGTGTAGGTTAACAACACCGATGCTGAGGGAAGACTTACCCTAGCAGATGCTCTAGTTTATGCTTGTAACCAAGGCGTTCATAAGGTATGAAGCAAGGCATTTGCATCTTTCATTCTCTGTAGTATGAAAGCATCCCTATAAATCATAACATATATTGGTCTCTTTCCAAAACATTTGCTTCACATTTAATGTTTCACTTAAGATTTGGTAAATTTTTTCAATTATGCTATGAAAGAGAAATGCTAGTAGGACATTCATATTTACATATTCTTGAGTTGAGTACACTCTTTGTGATTGGTTCATTCTTCAAAATGTTGAAACATTTTTTTAGAAAGTGGTCAATTTACATCGCAACTAAATTAACTTTTCAAAAAAAATGAATTTGTCATAAAGAGGGTGTTTCCAGCATTTCTCCTTAATATCTACCATTCTCATTTCTTAAAAGAATCTAGTTATGTTATTATGTACCAAGATTTGCTGAAATAGCACTGATTTTGGCCTTTTTTGATTATACAAACTTCTCATCTGCTGTCTGTTTTCTAGTATCCATCTAGACAAGCTTAAACTTGTTTTTTTAGGTGTATGGTTTGGTTTTAGAATAGTGCTAACTGGCAGATAAACTCCTCTTCAGATTGTTGATTTGGCAACCTTAACAGGGGCATGCGTAGTTGCTCTTGGGCCCTCAATCGCAGGTAAAGATGTAAAACTATTATGTTGTTTATGGATTCAACATTCTTTTACTACAGTATACCAAAATTTGCTTGTAAAAGTCAGAAAAAAGTCTCTATTTTTGCTGGCACTATAAGCTCCTTAAGTTTTACCATTTTGTTGGAAATAGTAGAGCTAAACTTGGGGGAGGATAAAACCGTCAAACAATGTCTAATTATTACTGCAAATTATTATTTTGAAGGTGTGTTTTCACCTAGTGATGAGCTGGTAAAAGAAGTTTTGGAAGCTTCTGAACTGAGTGGAGAGAAATTTTGGAGGCTGCCATTAGAAGAAAGCTACTGGGAAACAATGAAATCAGGAGTGGCTGATATGCTGAACACTGGTGGAAGACCAGGTGGTTCTATTGCTGCTGCTCTTTTCCTGAAACAGGTATGTTTGTGCATAATAATAATATAGATATGTTACAAGATTATTGGACAGTTGCATATAATGGAGCGGTAATAACATCTGAACAACATTCTGTCATTTTCTAGCTCCACATTGTGTGAAACTGGAACTTAAATTTTTGTAATCTGAAACAATTTTGGTGTTGCAGTTTGTTGATGAGAAGGTTCGGTGGTTGCATATTGACATGGCTGGTCCTGTGTGGAATGACAAGAAGCGCACAGCGACAGGATTTGGTGTTGCTACTCTGGTGGAATGGGTTTTGAAAAATGCTTCTTCTTAACTGCAAATTGAAATCTTCAAATATGGTTGGAATAGTGGCGTATAAGATAAGATAAAAACCGCGTTATGTTTTTCCAGGGGTTGTTTGCTTATATTATGAATAAGTAGTTTGATGGTGGGTGGAAAAGGTGGTAAGCTGGAGGTATATTCTAGTGTATTCAAACTTTTATATTAAAAAAATAAAGAAGCTGAATTTTCATGTTTTGCTAGTCATCTTACGTAGTAGTGGATCGTCTTTTGCAAAGGGGGGTCCATTTGTATTTTTATGTTATGTTATGTGAGTCAAAAAAAGAAAAGAAAAAGAAGCTTATATTTCTTTCGACCACTTTTTCTTTTGGAGGGGACCATTGTGCTTCTTAATGAGTGCTGTGTTCCAACTGTTTGAACTACTGAATCTGATGGCCAAAGGAAAATCATCTTGCACAAAGGTGACGTGGCTCTTTTAATATGTCTGATGTGTTTGCCACACTAGCAATTTTGATATTTATAGTAATGAAGTTTTGATTAAATAAATTGATACTTTTTATTTAATAATTAATTTAAGACTCATCTGGATGAAACGTGTACGAATTTCATATCATATTTACTAGTAGGAGACTAATCCATTGCCATCCGCAGCCATAAGCTTTGGATAAATCTACCTAGATCATAAAGTATCCTCTCTTCCCCTTCATATTGTGCATGGCTTCCTTTGCAACTATTATATTCTCATGAATGCTCTTTCCTAGCACAAGTACAGAGATACAAGTTTCATTTGTTTGGCTCCACACACTCTAACTAACTCAAACAACTTTTTTATAGTAATCATTAATCAAATCTTTGAGTTCCCTATTCTCTTCTTTCTATTTTCCAACATTGTTTTTGAGCATGATGGTCTTTTATATCTGCTCATGTGTATAATCTTCATATGATAAGTCATTCTGCTATTGATCTTTAGAATCACATAAGTTATTTTTTGAGGAGGTCACTTAGTTTATTATGAAGCTTTTGTTCCAATCTCTCTTGAGCTCTACATAATTGTCACTCCATTCTAGACTCCATTGGATCCCATCTAATCTAGCCATGAGATCCTCCTGCTTACCTTTTACTTGCTCTAGGGCTTTATATTTCCAACTTTTGATATCTGACCTAACCATCTTGATATTTTCCACCGAGCTTCTATCATCTCTCCACGTTTTTTTTATCATGTCAAGATAGGACTCTTGAAGCATTAAGGCACTCTCAAATCTAAACTGTCTTGGTTAAGATTTTTTTGAAGATATAAGAATGGGATGGTGATATGAAAACTCCACCCTTATTAATACTTTCATATAGGCTTCTCATAACTCCATTCTCCACGCTTCATTACAAAAAACACGATCCAACTTTTCATAGATTCGCTGCCCTCCATGATAAATGAGATCTCTACATGTAAACTTTGGTCCAGTTGTCCCTAGGTATATTAACTTAAACGTGCTAGACTTTTGTTAAGATTTCATTAACTTCAAATAACTTTTACATCAAACTTGATGACAATAAAACTATTTAAACCACTAATCGTTTGGTTCAGTGGTGATTATCATTGAATTTGATAGAGAAGACATAGTTCAATCCCCAGAATTTTATTTGATTTCTACAATCCCATTTTTCTCCAAAGTTCAAATTATTCAACGAGTAAACTAAATTTTCAAATAATATTTATTAGATAAAAGAGTAAAGTAAAATCTTAATTAAATTAAGGAAACTAATTACTAATTAAGTCAACTAAATAAATATCATGAATATTTATTATCTTTTCTATTTAATACTTCCTCCATCCTATGAGTTATCAAATTTATTATTCAACGCATTAAAAAAATACTAAAGCTTATAAATGAAAGAAAAAGAATGACATTTTTATCATATACCAATTATCAAGTATTGCAAGTAATAAAAATAATATTAATTAAAAAGTACAATTGAAAAAATTGAATTAATAATGGATCACTCATTTAAAAATATATATTTATAAGAGAGTAAGTTTTTGAGACAACGTTAAAAAGAGAGTGTTGTTATTATTGTTTTTGGTAATATTAAGCTGAGTAAACCAAACCAAACCCCTTAATTTAAGACAAAGTTATGTTTAATTAACGCAAAATCCGGTAGTAAAATGGAGATTTGAATCCCTCGAAAAAGTTAAAGAAAAAATGGTTCTTGTTCCTATGACTTCACCAAAACTATGATTTATCGCTAAAACACTCCATCAAACTTCTCTCTCTCTCTCTCCTCTTTCACACTCACACACCAATCAAGAGAATAATAATAAAATAAGAAATAAAAAAAACAAAATCCATGCCTCCATGAATCACAAACATAACATAAATACAATAATAAGAAAACATCATAAACAAGCTGTTCCAGTTTTCATTCCATTAGCTATGAACTAGAAAGAGAAAGATTCATTACTCTATTTTGGAGCAAGAAAAATGAGTGTATCTTTGACTGTTATGACCTTCAATCTTCATGATGATGAGCCGCAAGATAGTCCTAATTCATGGGAGAAAAGAAGAGACATATGTATAAGTGTTATTACCAGTTACTCCCCCATCATCCTTTGTACCCAACAAGGTTCTCTTCTCACTACCCATCTTTTATTTTCATCTGGGTTTGATAAAAATCGTTTCTTTTTTTCTGATTTGTTAGCTCTGGATCCTTCTTCATGAACCCTTCAATGTTCAATGACTAAAAATGGTTGCTTTGTTGATCTTTTCATTACATTTGATTTTGATGATTTGATTTGATTTCATTTTGATGGTTATTTTGATTCAGTTTATTTATCCCTTTCTTTCATTTGATTTGCATCTGGAATCAGGAGTGAAAACTCAATTGGATTTTCTCCAGCAGGGTTTGCCAGGTAAACAAACTTCTAATAAGATTCATTTATAGCTTTCAATTTTGTTGTCTGCATTGTTTGGTACCGGTTATGCACTACTATATTTGCAAAGGATATACGTGAGGGAACCAAGATGCACCGACGGAGGACGGATAATATCCATTGCCTAGAGCAGGGCTACTAGTCGCCCGCTTATCGCAATGTGCGTCTATTGTCTGATACACTCGCCCACTTATGAAAACGTGGGGAATGACTTGTCTTTATCTCATAACGGTATGGGAGGCAATCAAAGAGGGAATAACGGCTCCACTTCCCACGCTCCTGAGTAGAAGGCGGTAACCACCCTCTTGGTTCCCAAGATTCAGGCCTAATAGATCCCTATAAATACCTTAATCCTTGAGTTGAGAAGACGTTCAATTTATTCAGCAATCACCTATATATAGAGCTTTTCACCATTCCCGCGTGAGTGTGCTTTTCACCTGATATGTTGCTTACTTTCCCAAGTTTTAAATTAATGAGTATGTGGCACGACACCTCTATAAACAGGTGTGCCCGTGTCCGTGTGGACACCTGCACCGGCACTTGTAATTACGTTTAATTTATTCATTTTTTAAAATTATTACTGTTGTCTCTGTGTCAGTGTCGGGACTGTATTCAGGGTGTCCATGCTTCATAGGTTAAGACCATTATAAGCCCTTATTCCTCAAACTCAATCTTTTGAAGCACTTTATTCACTTTAATCTTGTTACGCCATATGGATTTTGCTTTGAAACAAAGTTGATTGAAATTGTTTATGAACACATGGAGAATGGATCACTTTATAAGATTCCTGTGTTTTTGGAACTATCTCTTCAGACATCATTTGTCCTTGTCAAACCCTTTTTATGCGTAATATTAGTCTGCTTCGAAACAGATTCCTCTAAGTTGATTAATAAAAACTCAGGTTATGATCAGTTTGGTGTCTCACGAAAAGGGCCACAAGATACTACTGATGAACATTGCACTATCTTCTATGACAAGGAAAAGGTATATGCGATTATTTTGGTATTATTTCGTATAATTTTCTATTTAACTGGACGGGGAACAGATTGGTTCACAATATTTTTTCTTCTTTTAAATGAAGGTAGAGCTTCTAGAAGGTGGAACCTTTTGGTTGTCTGAATCTCCGTCTGTGCCCGGAAGCATTTCATGGGGTTCCGAAGTTCCTTGCATCGCAACATGGGCTATATCCTTTTATGATTTAGAAAATAAGATATAACTTGAATTGTTTTCAAACTGTGTTTTGCTTTTGTAGTTCAATCTTTTGGTTATTTTCTTTGACAAGATGTCCACACATTTCAACTGAAAGGAGTTGAGCCGCCAGGATTCTCATTTCAGATTGTAAATACAAACATGGACGAGTTCAGTCCTCGCGCTCGTAGACGAAGCGCTTTACTCACATGGCAGCACATTGCATCCTTACCCCCTAGTCTACCAGTTGTGTACTGTGGTGGATTCAATACGCAAAAGGAATCAACTACCGGACGTTTCCTTCTTGGAAGATCGAGGTAGTTTCTACATATTTCCAATCGCTAGTTCTTAGCAATACTCACTTCTCAAGTTTATATCACAGAGTTTACTTTGGGTGCGTGCGTGCAGAGAACATGGTGTAGTTGGTGATATGAGGGATGCATGGCCTAGCGCACGCGTTAGGAAAAATGTTTCCTTAATTCGTACTTATCATGGATTCAAGGGTACTTCTTGCTTCGACACTTTAATGTTGTTATTTCCGTTTCATGAGCACGAGCATGATATGACCTGTGTTTTTAGGTGACAAACAAGGAACCGTTGAATATCTCAAGTTAATTTTCCGAGCCCTCTGTCTCTGCTGGGATCGCCAAACACAAGATCTTCACGTCGATTGGGTCCTTTTCAGAGGTAGATCTCTTATTCCCGTTTCATGTGAAGTGGTGAATGATAATATTGACGAATGTTATCCATCATCTCATTTTCCTATATTTGCCGAGTTTATGCTCCCTCGCACGGTAAGAATGTTAGAATCGCCGGTTCAAGAGGATAACTAAATTTCCATGTTTTTTTCCATGTCTGAATTCGTCGACTCTTATTCTTTTCTCTACGTTTATCCGTATCAATCGCGAATGCGTTTCTTG